GTCGTCCCCTCCGCCACCCCCTCCCACACGTCGCCCCTCCACCTTCCCCCTCCCGCCAAGTCCTCCCCTCCGCCACCCCCCTCCCCGCCAAGTCCTCCCCTCCACCTCCCCCCTCCCGCCAAGTCCTCCCCTCCGCCTCCTCCCTACCGCAAGTCGCCCCCTCCGCCTCCTCCCTCCCACAAGTTCCCCCCCCGTCGTCCACACCCCATCCACCACCTCAATCTCCCACCCCAAAACCGCCCCCTCCTCCACGCCCTAGGTCTCCACCTACACAACCACGGCCTCCCTCACCCAAGCCAAAGTCCCCTCCTCCACAGTCGAGGCCCCCTCCCCCTGCGCCAAAACACTCCCCACCACCCAGCAGACGCCCGCCACCACCCAAGACGCATTCTCCACCCCCACGCCGGAGTCTGCCTCCTCCACGTGCAAAACCCACTAGCCCACCCCCACCTCCACGCAAAAGTCCTTCCCCATCCCCTAAACGGAGTGCGCCTCCTCCAACACACCTTCAAAAACCACCCCCCGCTCATTAGCTTGCATCACCTCCGCCGCAAGGTAGACATCCTTTGCCATGGCAGGGGAGGCACCTATGACTGCTCAAACGAGCTCTTTGGTATGCGAGCGCTCTTGTCACATGCTGGCAACCCCTGTCCCAACAATTCGGAGAGCCGTTGGCCTCCGTCAGTACTTCTTGAGAGTAAATCAAAACATGTGCACGTGCTTGTTGCTGCCGCACACTTCCGTTGTAAGCTTGACTGCCTGCTGGGATCTAAAGTCTCGACTCTGTACGACATTTTCAGTGGTGGCTTGTCACTCTCACAACGTGTGTGTCCCTAGAATCCTCCTTTCCAAAGTACAATGTAAACAGCCGAGGGATTTAACGAGATCACATCTGTGTGCTTGGATGCTAGCCTCGATGAGAGGTGTGGGTTTAGGTTCAAGAGTTTCCTACTTGGCTATGAGCTATCGGATACGGCGCCTGTCCAAGGACTTAGGAAAGCAGATCGCAAGTCATGCATGGAGTTGCAAGTCTTACCGTAACCAGTCGAATGCGCCGCTTTTGATTGATTTCGAATCGTAGCGTCAGATGAATCTCGTCACGTGTCCGACGTGATCTCGAAAGAGGACTGCGTTTGCCCTTCCACCTAGATACTTGACTTCCTCAAGGACTGGTGAGCTTGGCAACCTCTAAAAATAGTTATTGTGCTTGACATACTCGTTGTAGCCTATCGCCATTGAGTTCAGTCTTAATCTGTCGAGATAAGCCTCCAGTCGAAACAACCCTGTTGAACCCTCCGGGCACACGCGCACGCGCAGAGCACGCGCACTCGTCCTTCCCCATTCCATGCCGTCGACATATCTTCATGTCGATGGAACTGCGCGATTTCAGACGACAAACGTCTCCCAGCTCCCATCACATTCCGTAATGGCCACCCCCGGGGTAGTCACAGAGCCACATGTGGTGAGCCAGCCAGGCCGGCCTGCGGGCGCCTACCACTTGGCGGCACCATATCTGCGCTCCACCCTCAAGCTCGTTACAGGAGCAGGACTGCTGTTCCTGGTATATATGTGGTGCCAGTACTTCTGGTATGAGGGATTCGAGAAGATCTATGGGGCCAGCATGGCCAGGCTGGGCTTGGTGTACACCTATGGCGCTGGCCTGGACCCCCCCGTCAAGTCCCTCGACATGTACGACTCCTTTTACATCCTCTTCCTCTGGGTGCCCCTGGGTGGTGGCGCTCTCTTCATGATTCTGGCACAGCGGCTTCCTAACCAGGCCAAGCCTGGCTGGATGCGGAGGACCCAGGCCTTGGTGAGGAGGAAGGGGCCCCAAGCAACGAGAACAGATGAGGGCTGCACACCGCATTAGCAATACATGGCTTTGGTCATGCAGCATCTGTGCAACAGCTCTGCCATCCCAGAGGCCGAGTAGGCCTGAATAGCGATTCTGCTGCTCTGGAAAGCCCTGCAGCCAGAAGGGTTGACCTAGGGTCCCTTCGTTCGCGATGTCCCACCTGCCCGCTCCCCCACTCCCCACCCCAGGGCCGGAGGGTGATGCAGTACCAGCTGCCGCCCCATGGCTTCTGGATCAAGCAGACCGGGGGAATGAGCGTGCTGGATGTCCTCATGCTCGTCATCGTGCTACTGCTGAACCTGATGTGGTTCTGCGTGGGGATGAAGAACTTCAACGATGAGCATGCTGCAAGTGAGTGCTGTTTACTGACAGGGCATGAGGTCTTCATGAGAGGCAGAAGGTGCCCTCGGCGCCGCCATTCGCAGTGGGGACCCCCTTGCCACACCGACACTCACGCCCAACTGCCCCATGCTCTCTGTGCCAGTGAGGCTGGCCGGTATCAGGACGGTGGAGGAGGTCTGGCAGCTCAGGCTCGAGTGGTGAGCGCCTTGTGCAGTCCATGAGCCTGTTGTGCGAGGGCGTGGAATGGCCTGCCGCAGCTTTGAGTCTCTCTGTTGTCACCCGCCTCCCTCACTTACCCCAATGCCAACCCCTATCTCCCACAGGGCGGGCCTCTACTTTGGCGTACTCCTCTTCATCGACGTCTGGCTGCTGCTGCTTCCCATTCCCCAGAGCAGCTTCCTCCAGGACCTGAGTGGCATGGACTACCACCAGATGATCCGCTGGCACAGGTGGGTTGAGGGACAGCACCCAGCAAGTCCCTTTCCTCAGGGTTGATACACATCGATTCGTTTGACCTGTGGCCTTCAAAGAACCTAGTCAATCTACCCTGAACCTTTGTCCTTGCCCTCACAGGTGGATGGGCCACATCACCATGATTGTCACCACCATCCACGGCCTCCTGTACTTCATTTTCTGGGGCATCACCCACCAGTGAGTGCCTGGGAGGCCTGCCCGGTGTCAGTGGCGTTCTTGTGCGCGCCGGCATGAACGGGAGGGGGTGACGCTTGGCTCATTCACGTGCTCCTTCCGATCCAGCCGTGCCACCTGCTCTTCCCTCTACCGAGCTGCGCGGGCAACGGTGACTCCCAAACCCCATTGTCCCAGGTTCTGGACGATGTTCACCGACTGGTCGAAGGACTCGTCCATCAACTACCTGGCCGGCTCCATTTCCTGGTTCTTCGGCCTTGCGCTCTGGCTGACCTCCATGGAGTGGTGCCGGCGCGGATTTTGGGAGGTGAGCTCCAGCTGCCTGCCTGTGCTGTTGACGAGTGACCAGGGCTGGATTCCTCACATCGCATGGCGCTTAAAGAGCAATTAGCTCCCACGCTTTTCGTACCCGAGCACTAGCGCATTCCCCTCCCTGCCTTTCCATGCCCCAGGTGTACTACCGATTCCACATTGTTTGTTTCTTTGGTTTCATGTTCTTTGCCTACGTCCACTACTCTGGCTCCTGGATCTATTTCTCACCAGGTATGGGAAGGTGCCCCGGTCTCTGGATGTTATTGCGGGCAGTTGCAGCACTTGTACATGCATCTGCCAAGTGTTGCCTGTCCGATGTTGTCTGGGTGAGGGGTCAGGGGGAGCCCTGGACATTGATCGAGACCTTATCGGCACCCTGAGCTGGCATACAGCTCCCTTCACTTTCCTAAGAAAACCCTGTCCAACCCACCCAGGTCTGCTCCTGTGGTTCATCGACCTCGTGCTCAGGGCAGGGTCCTACCCAAACACGACCACCGTGGCCAACTGCGGCGTCAGTGCATCCGAGGAGGTGGTGACCCTGCAGATCCAGGCCTCCAAGGTGTGTAAGCTCGTGGCTGGGTATTCCAGGTGCAAGGCTGGGCCCCGCTCCCCTCATTTCTCCTCTAATGTCTCACCTCCCTCCTACACAAATATTATTGCAGAGGGCGCATGGCTGCCCCCTCCACGACATCTACCTCCTATTCCCCACCATCTCCCGCTGGCAGTGGCACCCCTTCACCATCTCGCACCAGTCGCCTGACGGCGTGCTAACCGTGCGCATCAAGAGATTTGGGGGCTGGACCGAGGTGGGTGCCGGGGCGCATTGCTTGTGCGCACCGGACAGGGAATATGTTTGGCGCTGGGGGGCGTCGCTGGCGCGGGCCCAGACTCCTCAGGGGTCCCAGCTGCGCTGGTCGGTGTGTGCGAGGCGTATACACGAGCCCACTTCTGCTCCATTCCTTCCCTCACTCCAGAGTCTGCTGAACAAGCTGAAGAACAGGGAGCCCCTGCCCATCCGAGCCAGCTGCCCCCAGTACAACGCACCCCATCGCTGGAGGCAGGACGAAGTTGCCGTGGTCCTGGCAGGTGGCATCGCGGTGAGTGATCGCATGCTGGCCCCAAGGAGAGGACGCGGGGTGTTGCAATGGGGGCATGCAGGTCGGCGCCCGTTCTCGACTCCTGGAAACACCTGCTGCCCCGAAGGGAGGATGCGGTGCATTCGCCGGCCAAGGCTTGATTTCTTGAATCGTGTGCCCTGTCTGCCTGTATTCCCAGTCCCGCTCATCACCGCCGACACCAGACCACCAACCCCACGCTCCCGCTCCTTCATTTCCTCCTCCCACAGAGTACTGCGGTCCTCAGCGTGCTCTCAGACCTGGTGGCCCGCCGGGCCCAGGGGAAAGCCACCGGCCCTCGCCGCGTTTTCTTCGTGTGGGCGGCGCGCCACGCCGTCGAGTTCTGCGTCCTGGACCTCTCCGTTGCAGCCGCCTCCATGTGAGTGGCAGCCGGGGGTCGGGAGTGGCGGCCACGGTGTTGGATGGGCCGTGTGCCACTGTGGGGTGGATATCACGGATGTCATGGACCAAAGGCCGACACGCCGACCACCAATGTTGCTGCTCGCTACATGCATGCAGCTCTTCACGACCCCAATGTTCCTCTCACCACTTTTCGCCCTGTCTCTCCCTGCAGGAGCTCCGATGGTTGGCTGTCCACCAGCCTCTTCTACACCGGCAAGGAGCCCCTCCTGGCTGCCAATCAACACGAGAAACTGGACTCGCTGGAGAAGGTATCCTCCCATGGCAGCGAGTCCGGCAGCGAGCCGCGGGCGGGAGGGGCCGCCAAGGCCAAGCCCCTCACCTTCCCCCGGGCCTCCCCCTTCTGGTGGAACCGCGCGAGGTAAGGGGATTGCTTGGAGCTTCTGGACATTTGGGTTGGAGGTGTGGGTTGGGACGGGGCTGCGTGCATGCATGCGCTCGCCAGCTCAGCCCTTGATTGCCATGGTCGAGGCCATGCTTCAGACGGGCGCTCCTTGCCACATGCTCAATTGCGAGCGCAGAGTCACCCTTGGCGGCGAGCAGCCTGTTGCCAGTCCCATGCCACTCACGTCTACAGTCCTTCTCCCCTCGCTCCCCGCAGGCGCATGCAACCCCAGACCACCGGCCCCTGGCACCTCGCCATCGTGACTGGCCTGGTCTTCTTCGGGGGCTTCGTGGGCCAGGCCCTGTCCTACTCGTGGTATGGGGAGTGGCAGACACACTACCAGAGCCTGGGGGAGGCGCTGCCCTACAACCCCTTCTTCTGGAAGCAGGCGGCGGTCAACTGCATCGTCTTCTGCGTCATCGCCCTGGGCTTCCCCTTCCTCGTGGCGGTCTTCCTCCCCAACCTGTACAGGCAAGTGCGGCGAGGCGGCCGCAGGGGTCGGAGGCAGGGCCTGGTACCCACTCACCGCCAGATCCAGTGACCCATCATGCGTGCCCCCACCACAAACTCACAGGTACTGGCGCGACACCCGCGCCGGCAGCACGGGGGAGGAGCAGATGGCCGCCTTCGACGGCGTGTGGGACCCGAGCTCCATGGGCTGCGAGCTCCAGGGCCAGGAGGTGGTGATCCCGGGGTCAGAGGCGGGCATCCCCATCGCCTCGGGCCGGCCCGACATCGTCGCCGTGCTGCAGGGCGCCGCGAAGGAGACGGGGGCACGCCACATCGGCGTGTACGTGGCCGGGCCCGAGCCCATGAGCCGCGATGCGCAGATCGCCACCTGCCAGCTGAACAGCACCAAGGGCGGCGCCTTCTTCGACTTCCACAAGATGGCGGGCATGCTGTAGCGAGGCTGGAGCTGGTTGAGGACCCTGCTCAGTGCTGGTTGTCTGCACGGCGCTCAAAACCCTGCTTACAGCCCCCCATCCTGGGGATGCTGTGCATGCTCCAATGTCAGGGGGGTTGGGTGGATCGGTGCGTAGGGACGCCCACGCAGGTCTTCCCTATCCCTGAGTTTTTCTCCGGACGATGCGAAGATCCTTCTCGGTCCATTCTTTTTGCACCCTGACATGAAGATGGCTATTATTACTAGTGCGATGGTCCGCCAAGTGTGTGCTCCCGACAATGTCAGTGCCAGCAACATAACACATGGGCTCGGCGCCGAATGCTGTCTGCAAAAGCACCATGCGCCATGTTGCTACATACCCTGCCATGAGCATCTGTCATCTGGCTGGAGCCACTTTAAAATCATATGTTGCTTGACAGATCGACCCCGTGCCCATGGCGGCGGAGTTGCAAGGGGCGACCACCGACAAGGATACAAGATTTCCAACATGGGTCACGGCTCACCCTGCGAACCTTCCTCTCGCAAAGCGATCCTTGGCAGACTTCCTCCTGCGCCCTTCAGAGCGTTATACTAACTCCTCATCGCCCAATCTTCCTAATGATTATTCGGCACGACCTCCACCACGGGGCAGCGTCCCAAAATACAGAGTCCAAGCTCGCGACAGATATGCTATTGCGAAAGGGTCACACGGATCGCAAGCCAAGCCCTTTGCCGTATCGATCGACAGAATTACCCATCAATTTGCATCGCATTGTAGCTTGCAAGGCCTTATGGTCGTGTGCGGGGTCTTACGAGCTAATCTATCCTCGGGGGCAGTTGGGAGATGTTCCTGACAAGATATTGGCTCGAGGACATGAGAGCACATTTGAAGACACATTGTATTTCATCTAGTATCTTGAGTTTCTCTTAAGATTTATGCGGGTGGGAGTTTGAGGGCTTCCTGACATTTGATCTCCGCATTAGTCAGGCTGCGACGTGGCTCGACGTCTCCTCGGCCTTGGCTCCTGGCGTACTGCGCGACATCCTCGACAGGCCTCGACTCCTCCAAAACTCACAAACTATGATCGAGTGTCTTGGAATGCATGCTTGATTGAGATAGGAGGTCGTGCAAGGCATACGGTCCACACACTCTCCTCGACAGCTTATCCCCAGCGTAACAACCCTACGAGGAGACTGGGCACGCACGCGCACACGCGATGCGCGTGCATGCGCTGCAGCTCAAGGAGCACGCCGCAGTGCACCATCTTATTCGTTATTCAATCCTTGCTGAAGCACAATCCATCCTGCAATCATGGCGACCGCCGTCATGGACCCAGGGCTCGCACCAGAGGTCTCGGCCCGCCAGCCGCCTAGTCTCCCAGCCAAGTGCTCACCCTATGCCCGAACCTTCATCAAGCTGCTCGTCGGCAGCAGCCTGCTCTTCACCGTATACATTTGGTGTCAGCGCATGTTTTACGAAGGATTTGAGCGCATATTTGGCGAAGGCATGAAATCCATGGGGATCATGTACCCCTACGGTGCAGCCTACGACATCAAGAACCCCGACCAGTACGACGCCTTTTACATCCTCTTCCTGTGGATGCCGCTGGGTGGCGGCGCCCTCCTCACCATCCTGGCGCAGAGGCTCCCCAATCACACCAAGCCGCTGTGGATGAAGAGGACGCAGGCTCTGGTGGGCCAGCGGGGGGGTGCCTGGCCGGATGGATGGGCATGTGTAGATTTTGCCAGTGCGAGCTGGCCAGCTCTCCTCACGACCTGGTCTCTGGTTACCAGTTTCGTCCCCCCCCCTCACCATTCCCGCCTGCAGGGGCGTCGAGTCATGCAGTACCAGCTGCCACCCCATGGCTTCTGGATCAAGCAGACCGGGGGGATGAGCGTGCTGGATGTCCTGTTCCTCGCTACCGTGGTCATGCTCAACACCATCTGGTTCGTCGTCGGCATGACCAACTTCAACAAGCGCTATGCAGCAGGTCAGAGGGGGGCTTCTGTGCTGAGCAGGGTAGAGCAGGTGAGTGATTGAGTGCTGTACTGCATGGCAGCAAGTGAAAACACCAGTCGCAAATGGGCGGCCTGCTCCACGTCGCAGTGGCCTCCAGCGGCATCAAGACCGCACACCCTGTGAGCCAGCTACGCCTCGAATAGTGAGTCCTGGGGGGTGAGGGTGGAAAGAGCGCTGCAGCCAGCCAGCTGGATGGAGAGGCTTGGGCGATCGATGGGTGCATGGCGTTTGGTTTGAGCACAGCCAGGAGTACACGCATGATGCAACCACCCGGTCCCCTGACCCCCTCCCATGCCCTGCAGCGCCGGCCTCTACTTTGGCGTGCTGCTCTTCATCGACATCTGGCTGCTCCTCATCCCCGTGCCCCAGAGCAGCTACCTCCACGAGCTGACTGGGCTTGACTACCACCAGATGATCCGCTGGCACAGGTGGGTGTTGCGTGGCAGGCGCCTCAGTATGTCGCTGCCACACAGACCATGCACCCTCTGATTGCCGCCGTGGCTGGCTCATATCTATGATATAACCTCGAGCCATCCCCAACCTCTCGCACTCCCGCACAGGTGGATGGGCCACATCACCATGATCGTCACTTCCTTGCACGGCATCCTCTACTACATATTCTGGGGCATCACACATGAGTGCGAGGGGGCTTGGGGTGGTGGAAGGTTGCATCAGGGGTGGTACAGTGATGTCTTGTGGGATCTCCACCTCCTTGAAGACCGTAGTAAGGGCCCAAGCATTGCAGTGAGGATGTCAGCGTACACATAGTGGTGTTCCAGCCCTGTCGAGGTTGTCAATTACAATGACAACTCGGTGCGACTCTTTGCATGGCACTATGCATCTGGGAAGTGAGACCTCGGCCTGTGCACTGCGCCTGGCTCATTCATATCCTTCAACAACTTTCTCCCAGCTTCTGGCATGAGTTCAGCGATTGGTCCACCCTGCACTACATCAACAACCTGGCCGGCTCCATCTCCTGGTTCTTCGGCCTCGCACTCTGGCTGACCTCCATGGAGTGGTGCCGGCGCGGATTCTGGAAGGTGGGCGTGGCGGGGCGGCCATGGCAGGGCCAGGGAGTGTCGCACCTCCTTGGGTTGGCTGGCCTGGGCAGGACCGTCCCACACGGCAAAGCCATTGAAGCACATGCGCTGGTGCACGGGCCTTTGCTTGCAGGTCAGATGGCAGCTCCTGAGCACAGTACGTGAGGATCCTTCTCACCCTACACACACAACCACTCCTGGGACAGATCTACTACCACTTCCACATGGTGGGCTTTGTTGGCTTCATGCTCTTTGCCTACATTCACTACCCAGGGTCCTGGATCTACTTCACCCCAGGTAGAGGGAGGCATGGGCGAGGATCGGACATCACATGCTTTCGTGGCCCTCTGCCTGGAGTGCTGGTGCCCCGGCTGTGTTGCACCTCACATGCCCTCGCACACCACACGCATTTGTAACCTGGAATTCTGGGCCCAATCCATTCCCTCTCAGGCCTCATGCTCTGGTGTGTGGACCTGGTGATGCGCTCAGGGGCTTTTGCCAACACGACCACTGTGGCCAACTGCGGCGTGAATGCAACCGAGGACGTGGTGACCCTGCAGATCCAGGGCTCCCAGGTGAGGGGTTGGGAGGGCTGAGTGTGCCTGCCAACGTTTGCCTGGGGTGGTCCCCGGCATATGGGGTCCATGCTGCTGGAAATGGAAGAATCTCAGCCCAGGCCCGTCCCTTGGCCTGCGGAGCTGACAGGACCCAATCCCCCACCCCGCGTCACACCTGCAGAGGATGCGCGGCTGCCCCCTCCACGACATCTACGTCCTGCTCCCCAGCATCTCCCGCTGGCAGTGGCACCCCTTCACCATCTCCCAGCAGTCGGCGGATGGCATGCTGACCGTGCGCATCAAGAAGTATGGCAACTGGAGCTCGGTGAGCGTTGCCAGGGGTGGGGGTGAGCCTGGTCGGGACACCGCGCAAATGTTCTGCTTCCCATCACTCATGGGTTGCATCATTGATGCTCCACATGACCCTCCCATCTCCCCACCACCTCTCCCCACCCCCACTCATCCTCCAGAGTCTGCTGAACAAACTGAAAAACAGGGAGTCCATGGCCATCCGCGCCAGCTGCCCGCCCTATGGCGGCCCGCACCAGTGGCGACAGGATGAGGTGGTTGTCGTGCTGGCTGGCGGCATCGCGGTGGGTGACGGCACGGCGCTGCAAAACTGGGAAGGGTTCTTTGCGAGGATAACAACACCTACCCTGGTGCCGAATCCATGTTCCCACAGCATCTGCAAACCTGCCGATCTGGGGCGGCATTCACGGCGAGTTCCGCATGGACATGCGGCTTGACACCCCTGCCTGTCTTGCCGTGCTCCCAAACACCACTCCTGCACCACCAGCTACATCCCCAGACCCCAAACCACGAACCCACGCTCCCACTCCTTCCTTGATCCCTCCCGCAGAGCACGGCAGTCCTGCGGGTGCTCTCAGACCTGGTGGCCCGCCGGGCCCAGGGGAAAGCCACCGGCCCTCACCGCGTTTTCTTCGTGTGGGCGGCGCGCCACGCCGTCGAGTTCTGCGTGATGGATCTCGCCGTGGCCGGCGCTTCCTTGTGGGTACTGGGCCGACACGGGGTCTCTGAAAGGGAGCCGTCTGGCCCCCATGCTCCTGCCGCTCTGCTGGGTGTAGGGGAGCCGAGGCTCTTGCTGGGGTGCAGGGAGGATGCGCAGAAGCCCTCCCCTTCCCCAGCACACCAACATTCTCCCCCCACTCTTCCTGACCACCTGGCACAGGAACAGCGATGGTTGGCTGTCGACCAGCCTCTTCTACACCGGCAAGGAGCCCCTCCGGGCCTCCGACCTGCACGAGAAGCTGGACTCCCTAGAGAAGGTGTCCTCACGTGGCAGCGAGTCTGGCAGCGAGCCACGGGCTGGAGCGGATGCCGGGGCCAAGCCCCTCACCTTCCCCCGGGCCTCCCCCTTCTGGTGGAACCGCGCAAGGTAAGGGTTGGGAAGGGGAGCGTGGACATGAGCTTGAGGGGCGGGCGGGAACAGAGGTGCAAGCATATTTAACTGCTCGCCTGTGCTCCAAACCATCACACTCCTGGTCTGCCTGGGCAGCTGCCGTGAGTCGGGCACCGAGTCCTGATGCTGGCCGGACGAGCGCAAGCGTGCGCCCAAACCCTGACTGTGCAGGAAGCTGCAGCCGCAGGCCACGGGCCCCCTCCACCTGGCCATCATCACCGCCCTCACCTTCTTTGGCGGGTTTGTCGGGCAGTTTGTGACGTACAGCTGGTATGCCGAGATGGCGACGCACTACACCAGCATTGGCAGCTCCTACCCCTACCTGGAGTACTACTGGAGGGTGAGGCCGGGGGTCTGGGAGGAGCCTTGGCTGCTGCCAGCAGCATGGAGCGAGGCTCGCCTGCACGGCAGGCCTGGGGTGTCGTGCTTCGGGATCATGGCCCCTAGCCGAGGGCAGCCCGCGCGGCCACGGCCAGGGCTCGGACCCCTCACGTCAGTCAAGTCCCCGCTGTGCCCTTGCAGCAAGGAGCCCTCAGCGCGTTTGGAGTCATGGTCGGCGCCCTGGGCCTCCCTTTCCTCACGGCGGTGTTTCTGCCGGGACTGTACAGGTGCACGGAGGGGGCAATACTCCCGGGGCATTGCCAGTCCACCAGGGGCATGTCGAGATCTGCCCCAACCCCCCTCGGGCGGACCTAGTCGTATGATGCATGACCGCCCAGGCGCAGCCACGACCACACAATCACCTCAAACCTGCCTGCAGGTACTGGCGCGACACCCGAGTGGGAAGCTCCAACAATGAGCAGATGGCTGCCTTTGAGGGCGTGTGGGACCCGAGCTCCATGGGCTGCGAGCTGGTGAGTGCCTGCGCGGCGGCGCAGCGCCTCGTCCAGGGTGTCTGGGGGAGGGGACCCCTCACAGCACCTGGCCCTCTGCTGCTCATAGGAGCCTCTGACATTCTGCTGCTCTGAAGGTCGCGCTCACCTTCTGCCCCATCTCCACAGGCCGGCGACCAGCTCATGATCCCGGGCACTGATCTGGGCATCCCCATCTCCTCCGGCCGCCCCGACTTTGCCGCCGTCCTGCAAGCTGCAGCCAAGGAGACGGGCGCCAAGCACGTGGGGGTGTACGTGGCAGGGCCAGACACCCTGTCCAACTCCGCCCATTCCAGCGTCTGCCAGCTGAACAAGGTCTTGGGAGGGGGCACCTACTTCGACTTCCACAAGATGGCAGGATTCCTGTGAGCTTGGCGGGCCACATGCCATCCAGCAAGCACAAGCAGTCGGGCAGTCCTGGTGCCGACCACGCATGGATCATCATGACGGGAGGTAGCGGTGCGGGAATTTCTCTTCAAATACTTCTTTGTTGGCCTTTGGCTCAAGTTTACTCCATCGTTGCCCTGCGTCTCTGAATTGGGCATGAAAAGCTGCAAACAATCATTTGAAGTTTCATGCAGTGCTTACCAGAGAACTCTCAATATTAATACCTTGTCATGCATCACCAGTGGGTCCGAGCAAGGACGGCGGCCAGGGACAACGCGGTATGCCAATGATGTATTCAGGAATGTGTACCGGATTCCAGGAGCTTATTTTCGGCATCGACCAGAGATTTAATCTCGGCATTTGATGCATGTAAGGTTCAAGTGGTTGAGACAAAGGTGTTGCGGGCGTCATGGGGTTGAGCAATCTGAAGGTCAGGGGAGCAACCCCAAGTACCACGGTTGTACCAGCGATGGGGACGTTCGTCCGGGGGGCTGCACACTCGAGATCGACGAGGCATGGGTGCTGATGAATCAAAAATCTTGCAGATGCATGAAAACTTAGGAATTGAAAGGAGTGCCCTGATCAGCCAACGTCCCAGATTGGTCGCCGAGGGGCAAGAACCTTCACAAGCCTAGCATTTGCGGCCGCGCGTTTGCGGCGGGACGGATCCAACAGAGCAAGCCGCACTCGGGGCCTTCTAATAGTTTATCGAACAATACGATATCGTGTCAATGTTACGGGTGTGCTTCACTCGGATGATCGACAAAGCGCGAGGACAAACTCCATCTGTCCCCCGGCCGATTGTGGACCGGAGCTCGCAGAATGGGGGCAGAGGCAGGTCCACACGCCCAAACTGCTTGGAATTGAATAAGGCTTGTCAGCAGAATCCTAGTTGAAGTTCCCGCAACGTCAGGGCAGCATGTCTGTTGCCATGGCGCCAAGCCCTCGTGCCCAGAGAACCCTTCAAGGGCTTTTAGTCATGCAGGCGTGCGCTCTAAGCCGGTACACCCGGAAACAGCGCCGCCAGCGCAGTATTTCATCCACAACGCCACGCAATAAGTTTGTTGTTTATATTTTGTCCCATTCTTGAAGCTGCCCGCGGCGCCATGGCGGACAGCACGCTTCCCAAGGGCAACCTCTCCGACCTTGTACCAGCGCCCCGGACGTCAGCGTTGAGACGCACATTGCCCTACATACGCAACTCACTTAAACTACTTGTGGGATGCGGTCTGCTTTTCACGGTCTACATGTGGATCCAGTTCATGTGGCGCGCCTCCTTCAACCGGATCTACGGCCCGGGCATCAAGGATCTGCCCCTGGTGTACCCATATGGGGCCGAGTATGGCATTTCGAACCCTACTGGCAGGGAGCCCTTCTATGTGCTATTCACCTGGATACCTTTGGGTGGGGGTGCTCTGCTGACCATACTGGCGCAGAGGCTCCCCAACGATACCAAGCCGACCTGGATGAGGAAAGCGCAGGCGCTGGTACGATGGTGGAAGGGACGGCTCGCCCTGACGAGCTGGCCTCCTGAGGCTTTGGCCATTCACCTGAATTTGTAGCCATTCCTTGAGGTATACGACTCTGGAAGTGTACTCCTGCCAATGGCACCTCTATTCTCGAATCCAATGTCACAGGGACGCAGGGCCATGCAGTACCAGCTGCCGCCCCGTGGATTCTGGATCAGGCAGACTGGGGGAATGAGCGTGCTGGACGCTGCGATGCTCTGCATGGTGCTACTCCTCAACCTCATGTGGTTCTGCACGGGCATGCAGAGGGAGGAGACACGGTACAGCGCACGTGAGGCCGGGATCCTGGAACGTTAGGGTGGCATGGAGGCCATGTAGTTTGGGCCGCCACAGCTTGGCAACCTATTCAGCATCCCTCCCCACCGTTGCCTTCCTGCTCTCCCGAATGCGCAGTGGAGGCGGCGGGGCTGAAGCCAGGTGTGGAGCTCTGGCAGCGCCGACTGGAATCGTGAGTGCAAAGAGTTCTCCCTGGAGGCCAGGGGTTGAGAATGTCGGCCTGGGCTTGGTCCAGTCTCAAAATATCCCTCCCCCCCTTCCATGCCCTACAGCGCGGCACTCTACTTTGGCGTGCTCCTGTACATTGACGTCTGGCTGCTGCTGCTCCCCATTCCCCAGAGCAGCTTCCTGCAGGAACTCAGTGGGCTGGACTACCATCAGATGATCCGCTGGCACAGGTGCATGCTGTGCGTGTTTTAGTTATCCTGTCTCTGCAGGGACTCCAAAGTTTCCAAAGATGCTATGCAAGACTTCTCATCCAAACGCAATCCCCCACCCACCCACCCCGGCACCTGGCACTCCCGCACAGGTGGATGGGCCACATCACCATGATTGTTACCTCCCTGCACGGCCTCCTGTACTATTTCTACTGGGGCGTCACCCACCAGTGAGTCCTCGAGTCTGCCCTTCCCTTGCTCGGTGTGCGTGGCCCTTGGAGGGTGCCAAGTACATCACGCTCCGGCCACAGGTGTCTTAAACCTATGGATTGGACCCGCCTGCCTTGCCCAAGTCCACAATCTGTCCCCTTGCATAACTTTGCCCCAGATTCTGGGCGATGTTTAGCGACTGGTCCACCGTCTCTTCAATGAACTACCTGGCCGGCTCCATCTCCTGGTTCTTCGGCCTCGCGCTCTGGCTGACCTCCATGGACTGGTGCCGTCGGGCTTTCTGGGAGGTGGGTTTTGGCATGTGTGTGTGGTGGGGGAGGGAGAGGGGACGGGGCCCAATTTGAGAAGTCTCACTGGTGCCTCAGCCATCAGCCAACGCCTTTCTGCACTTGCTTGCTCCTACTCCCATGGCGTCCTGGTGGACAGCGGTGGGACCCCACCTGAACCCGCACCCAACTGCTGCCCCAGGTTTACTACCGCTGCCACATCGTTGGCTTCCTGGGCTTCATGCTCTTTGCCAACATCCACTACTCCGGCTCCTGGGTCTACTTCTGCCCTGGTGTGAGGACAGTTGGGACTGCTGCCGCGAGGCGTAGCCCCTGCTGGTGATGGCCTGGCGCTTTTACCCCGAAAACACACACTCAAGCCCTGCACCTGCCCAACCGTATCCCCCTTTCCTACCACTCCCAGGCCTGCTGCTGTGGTGCATCGACCTGGCACTGCGTTCTGGAGCACTGGCCAACACCACCACAGTGGCCCATAGCGCGGTGGATGCCAGCGAGGACGTGATAACGCTGCAGCTCCAGGGCTCCAAGGTGGGGTGGGGTGGGGGTGAAAGGCGTGCAGCGGCAGTAGAAGGGTGCTGGCTTGGCAGAGCCAGGAGACTCAGACCTCTTCCCTTCTGGCGCTGTGCTGATCTGGCAGTGGGGCACTTACAAAAGAGGAATGTGGCGAAGCTCCCCATTCTGTGCTTCCCTGCAAAGGCCCATGGGCCACTGCATGGCAATGTCAGAGGCAGCCCGATAGCCTCCCTGAACACCGCCACACCGTCTCTCATCGCAACAGAGGGTCGGCGGCTGCCCCATTCAGGACATCTTTCTGTTGCTTCCAAGCATTTCCCGCTGGCAGTGGCACCCCTTCACCATCTCCCACCTGTCAGCGGAGGGCATGCTGACCATGCGCATCAAGAAGCAAGGCGCCTGGTCGAGGGTGGGTTCTGTGTATGGGGGGTGCGAGCCATGTGAAAGGCACGCCAAGGCACCAGCTATCTACCCAATCGCACATGCGCGGCAGCCTCAGGACCGGCACTCCCACCCCAACAACCGTGCAGGAGCTCCTGGCAAGGCTGAAGAGGAGGGAGATCCTCCCAGTGCGTGCAAGCCTGCCTCCCTACGGCGCTCCCCTCCCGTGGAGGCAGGATGAAGTTGTCGTCGTGCTGGCTGGCGGCATCGCGGTATGCATCCCTGGGCGCTTCTTTCTTTCTTCCTGAAGGAGTGAGGAGAGCCTGCTGGATGCACCCGTCAGTGCCCGCCAAGTGGTCATGCTGGCAGCCTGCCCGCCCGCCCGCCCGCTGATGGGCCCGCACGTGTCAGAAGGCGTCCTACACCTCGCCAACAAGCCTCTCCTTCCCTTTCTTTCCTCCTGTAGAGCACGGCGGTCCTGCGGGTGCTCTCCGACCTGGTGGCCCGCCGCGCCCAGGGCGAGACACCGAGCCCCCGCCGGGTATACTTTGTTTGGGCGGCACGCAATGCTGTCGAGTTTTGCGTCCTGGACCGTGCTGTTGCCGGCGCTGCCATGTGAGCCCGGACCCGCCCTGCATGCGGGCAGGGGAAGGGGAAGAGGGGAGAGGATTTGATGAGCGGTGCCATGGAGCAAGGCCGCCGCCCTCCTCAGGTGGAGCTGCAAACCCCCTGCTGCAGGGGCGCTGATGGGTGGATGGAGGTCAGCCTCTACCTCACCAGCCAGCAGCCTCTTCACGCCTCGATGGAGATGAAGACGTCCGCTGCACTGGAGAAGCTGTCCTCCCAAGGCAGTGACTCGGGCAGCGACAGACTCCCCAAACTCGTGGCTGCAGACTCCACCATCCCTGCCAGCTTCCCACTGGCTTCGCCCTTCTGGTGGAATCGCGTCAGGTGAGGGGTTCTGCATGGTCCTTCCCAGCCATGGAGCTAACCTTTCAGGCGACAGGAACTTGAGGAAGGGGCCACATAAAATGGGGCGCCACGAAAGCACTTGTTCACCATGGCCTTGTAGGGCCTGAGGAGGGTGTGTGCATCTGCTCGGAAAGTTTTCGGCACCCAAGTCCTGGCTGGAACACAGAAACAGCGCACCCACCCGTCCCTCCCTCCCTGCAGGAAGCTGCAGCCGCAGGCCACAGGCCCCCTCCACCTTGCCATCGTTACCGCACTGACTTTCTTCGGTGGCTTTGTCGGCCACTTCGTGACGTACAGCTGGACTGCGGAGTTGGAGACGTATGCCGCCAGCCTCGGCGAGGACCCAGACTTGAACTACATCGAGTGGCGGGTAAGGTGGCGGGCTCAGGAACCATGGAGCAGGGAGGGCAAGGTGTGTGTCGGGTGCGCTGACCTGCAGGCGGGGTTCGGTGAAGGGGACCTCCAGGGCGAGCGAGGCCGACCTTGCCAGCCCTCGCCAATTTGTCACATCCCAACTCCCACCCCTGCCCCCGGCCTCGTGCAGAATGCGGCCCTGGCCAGTTTCGGTTTCTTTGTGGGTGGGCTGGGATTCCCCTTCCTCCTGGCCGTCTTCCTTCCCAATCTGTACCGGTGAGAGGAGGATGCATGTGGCGTGGCACCCGTTTCCCAGGGCGTCGCAGGGGCAGGGGGCAGCGAAGAGAGAGGGCCCCACACACCTTGACCCTCGTCTCGGCGCGTTTCAGCACGGTGCCAGTCCCTCTGCCCCCTCTCCAGCTTCCGGCCCGCCCCTCCCAGGTACTTGCGTGACACCCGGACTGGCAGCGCCACCGACGAGCAGATGGAGGTGAACAGCAGTGTCCATGACACGGTCGCCATGGACTGCAAGCTGGTGTGTGGGGGGGCCATCTCTGCCTGCAGAGGCCTGGGCGCGCTGCAGACTCTTGGCTTGGGCTTGGAGGGCCCCTGAGTCCCGAGCTCAGGCCCTCCAGCCCGGCAACCCTGAATTGCATCCAAGCCGCACCCCCCACCACATGCAAATCACCCACACAGGTGGGCGACCAGCTGGTGGTCCCTGGCACCGATCTAAGCATTCCCATCGCCTCCGGCCGCCCCGATTTTGCCGCCGTCCTGCAGGCTGCAGCCAAGGAGACGGGCGCCAAGCATGTGGGGGTGTACGTGGCAGGGCCAGAGCCCCTGGCCCAGGCCGCCCACCTCGCCATCTGCGAGCTGAACGGCAGTGGAAAGGGGTGCGCCCACTTTGACTTCCACAACATGGCCGGGTTCCTGTGAGGGGAGGTCGTGCCTGATGAATCTCCGACCAGACCATGGGCGGTGCCAGGGCGGCCACTGCCAGCCCCTTGCTCATACGGTCTTGCACTGCTCACGATTAAATACTGCACTGCTGTTCTGTACCAGACGCCCAGCGCGGCGGTGACCCCAGCGCCTTGCTTCTTTCCCCCTCTTGTGGTCCAACTCATCCACGAACGAGAGCTTGGGGAGGGCCAAGGGCACGCATCCACCACGCACCATCCCGACCCTGTCCCAGCTCCCAGCCTAAGCACAGGCAAACTGTCTGCTGCCA